AAAGGAAGAATGTGAGACTTTTTGATCCAGTAGATGTCGCCCCCTTGAGCACCAGCATGAAACCAAAACAAACTGCTGTTAGGCCACGCCTCCTCCATACTGAAGCCTCTGCCCTCCTCCAGAAAACACACCTCCAACCCCCCTCAACTCATGTTTTCATGAAGGAGTTATTAATTAGAACCCACCATAATGAAGCCATTAAGCACAAGCAGCGGACAAAAGTGTCCTGCATTGTTGTGTTAGCATGCTAATGTTAGCGCTCTTTAGTTAGCTCGTAGCTTCACATTGTTGTGTTAGCATGCTAATGTTAGCGCTCTTTAGTTAGCTCGTAGCTTCACATTGTTGTGTCAGCATGCTAATGTTAGCGCTCTTTAGTTAGCTCGTAGCTTCACATTGTTGTGTCAGCATGCTAATGTTAGCGCTCTTTAGTTAGCTCGTAGCTTCACATTGTTGTGTTAGCATGCTAATGTTAGCACTCTTTAGTTAGCTCGTAGCTTCACATTTCATGTAAACTGACACAGAATGAGCGTGATCTAAAAACTCTTACTAACATCCAATAATCAGTGAGTATGTTCTTCTTCTTCTCTCTAGTTCTTGACTAAAACAGCTTTTATACACAAGGGGAGGAGCCGGCCGTCCCGTCCATGTAAACACGGCTCTGACAACAACACAGCCAGCGGGACTCGAGCTTCTCCCTCATTGTAGACAGTCAGGACTCAGAGACACATTTACACAGGACAGACTTTATGATTTATTTGTGGAACATGTCGATCATTCTTCCTTTAAACTCCACAGGAAGCTCAAAACAACCTCATCATATATCTGTCCTTAATTAAAGGGTTAAATTAAATGTTGTTTTTTTAATTGGCTCGTTTTTTTACATTTAAACTCCTAAATTATAAATCAGGTTTAAATCGAGAAGTTATGCTCTAACTGATTTCTAACAGACAGAGCTCCTCATGTAAGAGCTGACTTTGAACATTTTAATTTCCTTGTAGGAGATATTTCTTCACATCAGTCAGGTTTGACCCACTGATGAGGATTAGTTTCATAAATTACGATTAAACTTTCCCGAAGTTTATCAGTGACCACCTGAATGCATCATCCCCCGCCCCCCCATCACTCGACTCGACTGGAGGCGCCTTTCGCCTCGACGTGAAACTGAACCGACACGACTTGACTTGAGTTTCTCCCTCCTAGCTCTCTTAGTGGGTTTTTTTTGGTTTTTTTTGTGAGCAGAGCTGCAGCAGGACGACACGCTGAGAGAAGTTTTCACGGCACCGAGCCGCAGACATGTGAACAAGAACATTTACACTAAAACACGACAAAGTCATCGTCACTTTAAAGGTCACATATTTAAAATCCTCTTCTCCATGTTCCTCTAACTCTAACATGTGTCTCTAGTCTACAAACCCCCCAATGATGAGAAAAGTCCATCCTCTCCGTCTTCTGCCTGCGCCACTTTTCAGAAAATGTGTGCTCAAACAGGCCGTTTGGAGATTTTCCCTTCATGACATCACAAAGGGCAGTAGCCCCTCCCCCAGGTGGGTGACACTCCCACAGCTAGGTGTTTGTTCTGCCCTCTGAGTCTGCCTTCTCACCATAAACAATAGGACATGGAGCGAGAAAGACTCGAGTACACCCAAGCCCTTCCAGAGAGGGGGCCTGGTCAGACACAGCTCATTTACATATTTAAAGGTACAGACACAGAAACAGCCTGTTCTGAGCAGGGCTGAAATAGAGGGGTTTATAGATACAGGATACAAATACAGGATCAGAGTGGATTTAGAACAAGAAACTTCATACACATGTTTTGAGGAGCTCTGAGACTTATTTACACTGAAGAAGGAGAATATGTCACCTTTAAACTGATGAGTTTGAGCACCATCTAGTGGCCATTAGATGTGTTGCAGGATGAACCTGATGTGGCAGTCGCTGCACTCTGCGGTGGTTTGGATCTAACATCTGTCTCTGAAAACATTTTAATTTGAACGTTATCACACAGAAGCAGCTGCACAGGAGGAAACAGTTGATTGTTATTGGTCGTCTGATAGGAGTGGAGTCGTCCAGCCTTTAAAGACAGAAACATGTTGTGTTGGTTTTCCTGCCTCTGAGATCAGCTGCTTCACGGTCACACTGCGAGCGCTGCATCAGCACAACGTCTCTTTATGACAGGAAGCGTAAACGTGATTTAAAGGCCGGCTGTGGATGAGCAGTGTTGAACTGAAGGCTGCTGCAGTGGAGACATAATCAGTGTGAGGTCACAAATGAAACACGTCCTCGTGTCCGTCCGCGTCCCAGCCCGTTTTTTGTTTTTTTTAACGCTTCTTACTGCCTCAAGTTTAATTATGCAAAATAAAGAGTTCATTATCAAAACGTGGTGAAAGTGTGAGTTTTATTCTGAAGGTCAAACGTGACGTCAACATATCCAACATGCATCAGTTCCTTTATAACAAAAGGTGACCTCACCTGGCTGTAACCTCACAAAGCTTTGATTGACAGCTGTCAGTCACACCTCCAATAAAAGGATCTGTATACACCGACGTCAAGCAGGAAGCGTCACCTGATCACAAACTGGGACCCTCAAAGATCTCAGACTTCTTAATAAAAAGTGTTCTTAAATGTGTTGAAATCTGTTAGTGAGCCGAGATAATCCAAACACCTGACAGGTGAGGCGTCTCAAGATGCTGATTGGACAGATTATCGAAAGCCAAAAATAGTCCAATAGAGTTTGAGGAAAAAGTCTGAGATCTTTGATTTCAACCACAGACTGTAAATATGAATGTTTTGAAGCCTGAGTGGCGTCCCCCATCTGTCCCTGCAGGGGGCGCTGGAGTCCCATCGATGGCGGTCTCCATGCTGGAAATGCTGTCTCAGTCTAACTTTCAGTCAACCTAACGACAGGCTGAGAGCTGGAGCTGAGGCGGGTTTTAAACCTCCTGACAAACCGTTACACCGCGCCCACCTGTCAATCAGGTCAGCTACACGCCTTATTGTGAATAACTCTTATCCTTCATCAAATCAAAACTGATGAGTCATCAAAACATTCACCCCCCGTACAGTGTGTGTCCATCCAGACATGAGCTAATCACACCTATTTGGTTTTTTGAACCAGGCTGTAAACATGTTCATCTCTGCTGTAAAAACAGGCTTTTTAGAATGGGTGTGTATGTGACTTCCTGTGCTTCTGCAGCCAGCCTCTAGTGGACACTACAGGAACTGCAGGATCTTTACACTTAAGCATCGGCTTCATTTTTCAACACCAGAGGTTGCTGCTTGGATTTAAACTCATGAAAAACTGGTGCAGAAACGAAAAGTTGAATTTATATTTTTTTTAAATACCTGTCACATGATTATTAATGAAATGTAGCTGCTGTGTTTTTTTCTGCATATTTACAAACACATCAATCAAACTTTGACCCCTGTGACCTCCTCATCGATCGCCCCGCCACAGTGAAACAGGAGAGGGGAGAGTTTGAGTTTCTGTCGAGTCTTTATTAAGAAAAGTATTTTCTGAACAGTGCAGACAGACAGACAGATTCATACAAACACACCGGCTCTGACCAGAGTCCAGACTGGATCCTGCAGGTTCAGTGCGTCGCCCCCGTTTTCTGAACTCAGTTCACAGACTTCTGTACAGCCGCTACGGGAGCAGAGAGGGGACAAAAAGGCGGAGAGGCAGGACAAGTCCAGAAACAAAAAAAAGAAGGGGGGGGGGGGATTCATCTCAAATCCAACACTCAGTGACTTTATATCTTTATGGGTAAAAACACGACATGTCTCCAAAATGATCCTCTACGACATCGAGTCATTATCTCCTTTTTTGAAATATTAACGCTTAAGTGTAACTTTCATGGAGGGACTCTTTACCTGCAATCAAATAAATCAAACCACGACCTTCTGTGGAGTTTAAAGATGGCGGTGAGGAGAAACGCTGTGGAGGGTTTAGACTCCGAACAGCTAACTAAAGAGCGCTAACATGGGGGGGGGGGGAGTTGAAGGTGTGTCTCTGGAGGAGGCGTGGCCTAACAGCAGTTTGTTTTAGTGCTCAAGGGCGACACCTCCTGGATCAAAAAGTCACTCTTCCTTTAACTGGAATCTGAAATCCTGTGATAAGACGGAGAGTTTCCATCGATTCTTTGAACGGTTTGAAAAGTGAGCGGAGTGAAAGCTCAGCTGATGACGATGCTAACGATGCTAACGATGCTAACAGGAGCTTCTGTCAGCGAGTTAGAGATCATAACAGCTTCTTAACAAAATGCTAACGTTGATAGCGTCTCAGAGCGGCTCTTAAAGGATCATTCTGGAAAAAAAATTCATGTTTTGTTTTTACCCAAAGACCTGACGAGTTCCTTCAATGTTTACATATTATCTTTACACTGAGTCTCTGACGTCAGCGCTTAAAGGAGGCGGGGCCAGACCTGAGGAGGGGGCGGGGGGACGGGAGGGGGGGACGTTGGGTTTGTTCAGGAGCATTTAAACACATTTAAAAGAAAAAAAAAAAACAAGAAATAAATCCTATGGAGGTTAAAACAAAAATCAGAGAGGCATCCGGTTTCCCTCCACGCTGATTTTCACGGCGTGACCCGGCTTCGTCAGGCGGCGAGCGTCGGCAAACCGACGCATCTGTTTATCTACGCGGGACACTCCCTTCTTCAAGGGACCCTGCAGGAACACACAGACACACAAACAGGAAGTCAGAAAACAGGAAGTGAAGCTTCAGACGTTCAGGACTGAAGGACACTTTCTACACAGTGATGAAACTAAAAGGAGCACGCCGCCATCTTTACTGCTTCTCTAACAAACGTTACACAGCTGCTGGGGTTTCATGAACTAAAGCTGTGTGTTCGCTCTCTTCTCCTGAGTCATGCAGAGGAGAGTTAAAACCTTCAGAGAGAAACAAGCAGCTCAAACATCCATCGTCCAATCAGTGAGATGATAAAGGTATCTTACTCTCTGATCATTAAGGAAACATGCTATGTTGAAGTGCTGGCTTCTCTGACAACAATGCAGCAGCCAGTATGTCCTCCTTCTAACTTTAGATTCTGCTCCTGAATGCTCTGGATTTGTTTAGACCAGAGAAGGTAGGCGCTTTTAAGACACGCCCCCACACGGCCGTTTTGGACGCCCCTCGGTTTGTCAGATATGAGAGCAGTTATCAGGTCAACAGGTGTTGCAGCACCAGGTTAAACAGCATCACTGCACGCCGTCACACCATGCAGCAGGACTTACTGCCCCCTACAGGCCGGCAGCAGCAGCTACAGGGGCATTCTGTTTCCCTCTATGCTGATCTTCACGGCTCCCTGCGGGCGGTTGATTCTCCTCTGATCGGCGAAGCGGCGCTTATGCTTCTCCAGCAGGCTGATGCCTTTCTTACTGCCGTTCTACAGAGGACCAATCACAGCACTCACTTCCTGTTTACCTGAAGTCACTTAAAATAGACTTCCAATGAGCAGAATATCCGTACTGTGTGTTTCACATTTGTTCTTTCATCATTGATTGCCTTCCTGGTTTTAATGGTTTAATGTGGTTTCACATCAGGGACCCGGGTCCGGATCCGAGTACACTTGACCCAAAAGTCCGGTTCATTTGATCAGTATGAACACAAACGTAGCGGACATGGGTACCGTGCTTGAAGAGGCGGTCTCAGGTCACGTTCCATGTGTACTCGAGTTCGGTCTGCGGGAGATGTGAACGCAACCATGCTAAAACCAGGAAGTGGATCGCGATATGACGGCATTCTAAACGGGTTCTGACGTTTCAAAAACCGTCGTATCCGTGCAGCACGGCCTCGTTTCATCCTCTGAGCTGCACCGTCGATGTGGACGCAGGAAGAGGGTCGTTGTTGGCGTTTCAGAAACAAAAGAAACTTTAAAATACAAAATTTAAAAATCACTGAAATGATTAAATCTGAAATGTTCTGATGTCAAATAAAAATTATTCAATTAAATTAATTTAAATTAGAAATATATAAATAAAAGTAAAGACATTAAAAGAGTTAAATAATAATAATAATCTCAGCGAAGGAAGGAAGAGGGTCGTTGTTGGCGTCTCAAATACAAGACAAAGTTAGCAGGACGGACTCGTCATGCGAGTGGTTGCCATGGCAATCGTTCTCGGGGCCTGATGTGAAAACGACCTAAAAAAAACGCTGTAGTTATTAATTATTTAGATTATTTCCTGAATAGTTATTTAGATCATTCTCTCCTGAAATGAGGGAATGTAATAAATCGACACCTCGACCTTTGACCTCTCTGAAGAAGCCGATGACACTTTAAACACTTTTTTTAGTTTACGAGATGATTCAGTGGACTTCTTGTCTCAGGACGGGATCCAAAGAGAGTCCTGGAGCATGCCGATCCCTGAAGGCGGGACTAAGGTTTTGGACGCACGGCGGGGTCAAACAGCACGCGGCGTCTTTGGACCTCCGTTTAAGGAGCGAGACGTTCCTTCTACGTCTGAGTTTCCTCAGGTTGAATTCACTTGATGGCGTTTTTTCGCGTGTAATTTTGCTCGGGTTGGCGTTTAGTAAAACCGGCTTTAACGACAATACGTCCCGGTTTGAGATCAATAAGGGCGTCCATCTTTCTACATTTCGGCGTGGTGGTGTTCATGTTTACGGCTGACAGCGCTCCTGACGCTCCTCTGTGTACTCACCCTGCTCGACTCCATCTCCACGTTCCACTTCGGTCGGACCACGTAGTCTTTGTTGGAGGGCATCGGCACCCGGGCCCGGGCACAGAACCCGGGGTCACCGGGTCTCAGGGCTCTGCAGGAGGAGGAGGTGGCGTTCGGTTAGAATGATGCTGAGCTTGAACGCTCTGCAGGTCGTGTGGATGTGAAGGAGTGAAACTTACTTTTCCTCCCCGGTCAGCTGTTTCTCCAGGTCTCTGCGTGGCGTCTGACCTCCAGAACTACAGAGAGAAAGACGGGGGGGGGGGGTAGACTGTTAAACAGAACCAGAGCAGCTGAGGCTACATGCTATTATTAGCGTTAGCTCACAGCAGGTTAGTCAGCGTTTCAGAGTAACGGGAGGACTGATCCCCCTCCTCATGTTACTGAGTCTGGATCCAGATCCACCCGGAGACCCTGATGTCTTATCATCCTTTCTCGCCTCTACTTCCTGCTCTCGTCTCTTTTGAAAACGTGACGCGTTGATCCACATCCTGGCATCGAGTGCACCACATGATGAAGTTTTGTGTCTTACTTATTTGTTTATTTTTTGGATCCTGATGAGAAACTCTCATTTTGTTTACTGTTGTATGAACAACTAAATGTCAATAAAGCTTGGAAATTGAAAGACTGGAGCATTTGCTTGGAATTACAGGGACTGCTTTAAGTTGGTTTGAATCCTACTTATCAGACCGATCTCAGTTTGTACATGTTAATGATGAGTCCTCTATGCACACTAAAGTTTGCCATGGAGTCCCACAAGGTTCAGTGCTTGGACCAATTCTCTTTACATTATATATGCTTCCTCTGGGAAATATTATGAGGAAACACTCCATACAGTTTCATTGTTATGCAGATGATACTCAGCTTTATGTATCAATGAAGCCCGATGGCACCAGTCAGTTATGTCAGCTAGAAACGTGCCTTAAGGACGTTAGGACCTGGATGACCAGGAAGTTTTTGCTCCTTAACTCAGACAAGACTGAAGTTATTGTGCTAGGCCCTAAAAACCTCAGAGAGACTTTTTCTAGTGATTTGACTGTCCTTAATGACATCAGCCTGACATCTAGCACCACTGTTAGGAATCTAGGAGTTCTTTTTGTAACATAACAATGAGTGAGGTCTTTTACCTGCTTTATGTAACATAACAAAGAGTAAGGTCTTTTACCTGCTTTATGTAACATAACAAAGAGTAAGGTCTTTTACCTGCTTTATGTAACATAACAATAAGTAAGGTCTTTTACCTGCTTTATGTAACATAACAATGAGTAAGGTCTTTTACCTGCTTTATGTAACATAACAATGAGTGAGGTCTTTTACCTGCTTTATGTAACATAACAATGAGTAAGGTCTTTTACCTGCTTTATGTAACATAACAAAGAGTAAGGTCTTTTACCTGCTTTATGTAACATAACAATGAGTGAGGTCTTTTACCTGCTTTATGTAACATAACAATAAGTAAGGTCTTTTACCTGCTTTATGTAACATAACAATGAGTGAGGTCTTTTACCTGCTTTATGTAACATAACAATGAGTGAGGTCTTTTACCTGCTTTATGTAACATAACAATAAGTAAGGTCTTTTACCTGCTTTATGTAACATAACAATAAGTAAGGTCTTTTACCTGCTTTATGTAACATAACAATGAGTGAGGTCTTTTACCTGCTTTATGTAACATAACAATAAGTAAGGTCTTTTACCTGCTTTATGTAACATAACAATAAGTAAGGTCTTTTACCTGCTTTATGTAACATAACAATGAGTGAGGTCTTTTACCTGCTTTATGTAACATAACAATGAGTAAGGTCTTTTACCTGCTTTATGTAACATAACAAAGAGTAAGGTCTTTTACCTGCTTTATGTAACATAACAATAAGTAAGGTCTTTTACCTGCTTTATGTAACATAACAATAAGTAAGGTCTTTTACCTGCTTTATGTAACATAACAATGAGTAAGGTCTTTTACCTGCTTTATGTAACATAACAATAAGTAAGGTCTTTTACCTGCTTTATGTAACATAACAATGAGTAAGGTCTTTTACCTGCTTTATGTAACATAACAATAAGTAAGGTCTTTTACCTGCTTTATGTAACATAACAATAAGTAAGGTCTTTTACCTGCTTTATGTAACATAACAATGAGTGAGGTCTTTTACCTGCTTTATGTAACATAACAATAAGTAAGGTCTTTTACCTGCTTTATGTAACATAACAATGAGTAAGGTCTTTTACCTGCTTTATGTAACATAACAATGAGTGAGGTCTTTTACCTGCTTTATGTAACATAACAATGAGTAAGGTCTTTTACCTGCTTTATGTAACATAACAATGAGTGAGGTCTTTTACCTGCTTTATGTAACATAACAATGAGTAAGGTCTTTTACCTGCTTTTTGTAAAGTGTCTTGAGATAACACTTGTTATGAGTTGACGCTATACAAAAA